GTTTTGTTTTTGTTTTTACTGATGGGGGTGGGGGTGCGGCTTATAGTCCGGTGCGGCTTATATGTTGATGTTTGCGCTTTTTTTTTTAAATGGCGGGTGCGGCTTATAGTCCGGTGCGGCTTATATGTTGATGTTTGCGCGTTTTGTTTTAAATGGCGGGTGCGGCTTATAGTCCGGTGCTGCTTATAGTCCGAAAAATACGGTACAGTCTCCATCTGTGACTGGTAGTAGAGGGTACAGGACTCCACGAAACACTGGATTTTGTAATTCAAATCAAAGATGAGATGGTCTCCATAAATCAAATGAAAAATAAATAAATAAACTCACATATTTTCAATATTACTGTTACCAAAGACTGTAAAAACAGTCATAACTGGATAATAAGTGTTGTAATTTTGTCCTTCACCTTTTAGTAATGCATCAAATAGGACGGTTGTGCCCTGAAAAAAGAAGTGGTATATGTTCATRWTAACTCTGGTTTTATTTGGCCTATCACAATTAAAAAAACGGTGTAAAGTTCGAAGTCTCTATTTTTGTCACAAATCAAAACAAATTCCGAGGGTMTATCTTTCTGAATAGAGAMATTWAAATAGGTCATGTGACCAGGCTCCAGAGGMGTAATTTACAGTCATAATTTTTAAATCAAGTCAACATATTTCAATACCAAGGTACACAACAATAACGTCATACCATCCAAGCCTAGTCTTATTTTTGGGGTTGSAAGTAGAGACGGGATAAATAAAGGGATCTGGATCTTGAAGAGCTGTTTGTTTCACCAAGTCGTTCAAAAGAGCCGTTCGATTTTGAACGAATTATGCCATCACGGAGGGAAACATGTAATCACGTCGCCGTACATGATGACATTATCACGTTACATGAGTGGAACTATCTGTTTTGTCAAGCAGAACCCCCCCTCCCACTTGAGCCACTGTACTCCACCACTCTGCCCGTTTTTTTGGTTAAAAAAGCAAAGCGGGAGTGATTTAAAGATGAAAAAATAAAGAATATAGGAGGAATGAAAAAATAAAACTAGAAATGACACTTTACGGCCCGCAACTTGGCTCCTATCATCGTTGTAAAGAGAGTAAAAGTAAAATGAAATGAGACAAGCAATCAGACTGCAGTCACTTTGAAAAACATCAGATATGTYTCKGATTCAGTACKACYCACTGAAAAGACCTGGGTCAGATTTGAAAACTATCGCATTTGTCAAGTTCAAACTGTCAGGAAAATAATTATATGGGCATGGGGTAAAAATAATCAGATTTGGGTCACATTTGCCTGCAGTGTGAATGTAGCCTTAGAGACAATCACWCACACCTCGGGGCAATTCAAAGTGACCTTTGAACCCAGCAAGCATGTTTTTAGTGTGCAGGAGGAAACTGGAAAATACATGCCTGCAAGGGGAGAACATACAAACTGAACACAGAAGGGCAGCCCCAACCAAAATCCRATTTCTGTCCATGTAGAGATATTCAGATTTATTTTTATTCTAGTATATGATGTACAATGTAGAGCTACCAAAAGTCATAGCTCACTATTCACAGTGGAGCTGCGTTTTTTCGTGGTATTTTTGTGTGCATGGATTTTTCCCAAGCAAATCAAAATTACGACAGAAACTGAAGAATAATAGCATAATAATAATGCATTGGCACCCTTAATAAAAAATAAGAAACCATGGCTTTTAATTGACTCCAACTATAACTTCTTCTATATCRGATTAAAAACCCTTCAGTCAAATTAGTTCTGCACATCAACAAAACCTCCAGTCTTAAACTGAGGACCGAGAGCGTAAAAACGTTTCATTCAGTGAGAGATTTAAAAGAAGAGAGCTTACTATTGTAGGGGTTGTTGTTGGTCTGCAGTCTGCAAGTGATGGCCTCATTCACATCCTTCTTCTTCACACACTGGATCCCCAGGTTCTGAAAACTAAATGCCAACACAGAAACTCAAAGCTGAAGTTTCAGAAACTAACCACATTGGTACAGTTTCAGTTTTGTCACGGTTGTGGRCACAAACAGCTTCCAGCGTACACATCGCTACATTTTTCAACATTTTCACAATTCAAACTTTGGATATTTCTGCTAAAACAACCTGAGTTTGTCTATACATCAAAAGTCAATATTATAAAATGGTATTTCTTAGAAACAAGTGCATATTACTCATTTTGATATAGTGCTGTAAATCTGTAACACATTGCTCTTTCYTCACATGAACTGTTTAATATTAAAAACAAATGACTGATGTCCGTGTTCCCTTTACGTCACAGCTCTTAAATTGGACCCTGTTTGTTTGGATTTCATCACTCTACTGATAAATAAGACCAACACAGCTCTTCCTGTCCAGAAGGACCGGTCTGATTGTGTCATTTTAGTTTCAGTCGTTACAAAGTGGAATCCAAATCATTACACTTATTTAAACGTTGACCGTGACGTGCAAGTGAAACTGTGTCACCTCCTCTTTCACCACAGCAAAAACAGAAGCAAACTCAGCAGGAGGCCTTGTGTACAGAGACTTGTGTTGATTTCCTACTGAAACAAAGTGTACAACGCAACAAACATAAATCCAAATCCCTTTGTGCGTTCTGATCAAAGTGTTGGACACATTCCAGGACACGCCTCCATTGGAACATGCAAATATTTCCCGGCACAGGTGTGCGTCCCATCTGATCAAACTAAAACCATGTCTACYCGTGGACAGAGGCAGGACTTTAAGGAATGTGAGTTAGAGTCAAACCATGTTTGTGTGATCCTGTTAATGRTCTACTGATGAACTTCCTTCTTCGAGGAAAAGACGTTGTCCAGAGCTAATAAAGCCCTACCATTTCCCTCGACGTGCTCCACAGTGCACATCACTTCRTCACCTCTCTCTGAAAAGGTACCGAGGTTTTGTAACACACAACACTGCCTGACACACAATAATCTGAGTGTGCTAATCTCAGKGTGAAGCCAAGCCCACCTGTGTATCCGCCTCTCCTGCAGGTCGGCCTCGTAGAACCCGTGTTTGCAGTCTTTTCCCACCAGCTCATGGGGGTGAGGTTTGTACGGGGCGTTCTTCGTCACCAACGAGATGCGGACCCGGAGGGGACCGCTGTAGTTGTGCACCTGTCACGGGAACATMTTTATTCACAACGAGGAAAGGTTGTAAAGACTCTCACACTGAGTAATAAATGAATCAACTCCCTGACAGCTCAGTTTCATTTCATTTGTTTTAATTGATCCTGGAAGTCATGTTATTAAAAAGGGAACCAGTTGTAACATGTAGGCCACGGTCTACGCTGTGAGCCAAGGTGCTGGGTTGCATGAAACGCCTGTGAAATGAGACGGTTTAGTCTTTGGATGACATATGTTTGTGTGACCATTACCATGTTGATAGATTTTAAATCACCTGCCTTCAGACTTAAGTGTCTGTGACGTCAAATTTTCGTAATACATATGAATGCATTTTTAGAAAGAGGACATTAATAAAACATTGCAAAAGAAATTTC